AGTTGCAGCTCTGTAGGAATTTATAGCTGAATAGCAATATAGATATGAATAAATTTACAGCATGACATTTTAATCAAAATAATGAGGAAGGAGGAGCGTATATGTGTCCGTATATATTTTGTGTACATACATTATTTCTAATCTTTAAGAGTGTATCTTTTGGGTTTTTGTAGTAAAGTTTGTTGTTATTACTGATATCAATATTTTCCATGATAAAAAATTTAAGTTTTTTTAAAGTTTTAAAAAGATTTTGGAAAAAATGTAGTTAGTATAGTTTCTGATAATTTCTTTAAGATATCAGAAAACCAGGACTCTGCAGATGTTGATCCTCAGGAGCATTCATTTACTCGAACTATTGATGAAGAAGCTGAAATGGAAGAACAGGCTGAAAGAGACCGGGAAGAGGGACATCCGGAGCCAGAGGATGAAGAGGAGGAACGGGAACATGAAGTGATGACAGCTGGCAGTGAGTATACCCTTCTTACTTTCTAGATACAAACGGTGGCATGCTTTTTGATAGGGGAACTAACTTGAAAGAGAAAGGCAAACTTTCTCCATAGTTTTTCTAAAAGGACTTTATATTCTGCTGGTGATCTCAATTTGTATTAGCTGACATTTCAGGGGCTCCTACAACTGTGCTAGTACTATTCTGATGCTTTTGGATTATGTATTTAGGGCTGAGAAGCTCTGGAAGCAGGAATGTCAGTACCTGCTTCACTGAGCCGCATGCGTAAAATGAAACCCATGAGTCATCGGATAGGGCCATTCAAAATATGTCCTCTGAGGCAACAAGTTGTCCATCAGCCTCGAAGACCTCTGAGCGGTGAGGAAGAGAGCCCCTTTCTATGCCTATTGGGAGAGCCATATTGTTTTCCATGTGTGGAACTTTTAAAATTAAAAATTTCACCCACTGACTACACTGCTCTTTCGATAGGGAGCAGGAATATACATGAGACTGCTATTGACTGGGTGAATAAAACTTTTCATACCTTTATGGCTACAGATAGTTTTTAAAGGTAATTATTTATATGTTTAAAGAGAAGTGTCAAAGCTTTTAAAACATTTATTAGTATCTTTTGAGTGATTTGGCTATTTCAAGTTAAAGTGTGCATTCAATCTGTACCCTAAAACATTATGGTCAGCAATGCATTTGGTTTTGAGATTGTCTGTATCTGTGAATTAACTTGGCACTTACTTTATTATCAACTTATTCGTGTTCTGCATACTTCTAAAAATGATTTTCAAGGGGGCTTGAAACAAGACTAAACATGATTTAAACAAAAGGAAAAAGGTCCAAATGGAGTAAAGGGAGTTGGAGATGGGGAAGGAAAATAATTGTATTTTACAAACCTAGGCTGAGGGAACTTTTGCAGTTGAATATAAACTTAGTTTAGAAATTCCTGGAAGCAGACTGAAGGTGAAAATGTAGTAAAGTATAACCCTCAATTACAGTAAAAAATGATAGTCATCTGGGAACTAGCTGTGCTTTTAGAGCATCTGTATATGCTGGGCACTGGTCAAGTTCTTTACATAGAGTAGCTCATTATCACAGCTGTCTAAAGTTCTAATATTACCTCATTCTAAAGATGGATGAACTAAGGTTTAAGGATGCGAAATTGTATGACTTGGGCCACAGTTAGTAGCAGCTAGAATTAGAACCAGGTCTGCCCCAAACACCAATGACCATTCTCTTAACCCTTTAATTGATTTCTAGTTCTGGACTCTTGAGAGGGCTTATTGCTTTGCTTTTTGTGGAAATAAGGGACTTTTAATAGCATAACAAAAATATTGTCACAATTTTATAAAATATACAGATCAATTTTTAAAGTTTGTACTTCCATATTAACTGATGAATTTAGTATTTTACCAACTTTTTTGGCCTGGGTTTCCCATTAAGAATACTGTCTTTGGGCTGGGTGCAGTGGCTCACACCTGTAATCCCAGCACTTTGGGAGGCCGAGGCAGGCAGATCACAAGGTCAGGAGTTTGAGACCAGGCTGGCCAACATGGTAAAACCCCGTCTCTACTAAAGATACAAAAAATTAGCCTGACCTGGTGGCACGCGTCTGTAATACCAGCTACTCAGGATGCTGAGGCAGGAGAATCGCTTGAACTGAACCTGGGGGCGGAGGTTGCAGTGAGCCGAGATCATGCCACTGCACTCCAGCCTGGGCAACAGAGTGAGACTCCATCTCCAAAAAAAAAAAAAGAAAAAAAGAAGAAGAATACTGTCTTCACTCCAAATTTGTGCAAAAAATTTCTAATGTGAAATATCTACCACTGCATCAGAACCTTGTTAACTCCACTGATGTTTTGCACTTTGAAATAGGGAAAGGCTGGAGTCAGATGGGTATTCCTGGTGATGCCATCTCACTCTGGAGGCAATCTTGCCCCATATATTAAAACTAAATTCTGTTTCAGCAAAGACCTTTAGTGACAGTGCTTATTTAATGTGTTTAAGATACAGCAAAGTGTAGATGTTAGGGATTATATGGACTTTGGAAAGGGAAAGGGAACTTTTGTTGTAACTAATATAACTTAAATTTTGTCTCTCTTTTTTTTTTTTTGAAACGTCAAATTTTTCATACCAAGCTTGTGAACGTTTTAGAAATAAGCAGTTATTTTTATCTAACCTTGTGCTTCACAGGCTTTTGTGGGCTTCAAAATCAGCTGAAGGGCCTTTAAAACACAGATTGCTGAGCCCCCGCTCCTAGAGGTTCTGATTCAGAAGGTCTGGGGTGGGCCTGATAATATGCATTTCTAACAAGTGCCCAGATGATGTGGGTGCTGCTGGTCTGGGACCATACGTTGACAATAACTGATCTAATTCATTAATAACATTTGAAATATGATCACATTTAAATTCTATAAAGGCAGATTAGTATTTCCTAATGTAATTTTTAATGAAAATATAGTATTTTAATGTATTTTAAATGTAATTTTAACTAAGTTAACTATGTTGTATATCATGTCTAAAAAATAATTTTTCCCTCTTTCAGTAAGTTTTTGGTCCAAACTTTTTGACTATTTTTATTGTTATTTTCTTTGCTCTTCTCTCCCCATGTGTTAAGACCTTGTTTTTGTGTTGCATGTTACAGAAATCTTTCAGTGTTTCCTCTCAGCCCGTGAAGTAGCTCGTAGCCGAGACCGAGATAGAATGAACAGTGGGGCAGGGTCTGGGGCTCGAGCTGATGATCCACCTCCTCAGTCTCAGCAAGAGCGAAGGGTCAGCACAGACCTTCCTGAGGGTCAGGATGTGTACACTGCTGCGTGCAACTCTGTGATCCATCGGTGTGCCCTGTTAATATTAGGAGTAAGTCCTGTGATAGATGAGCTTCAGAAGCGAAGAGAAGAAGGACAGTTGCAGCAACCTTCAACAAGTGCCTCTGAAGGGGGTGGACTTATGACCAGGTGGGACTGACTAGACACTGAAAACATGACCTACTCACTTCCCTGTGTTACTTAATGCACTGAAATGGTTTGTTTCCAGAGTTACAGTGTTCTGATGTTAACATAGACATGAAAGAAGAAATGCAAATTGAGTAGGATGAATTTAAAGTAATGTAAATACTGATACTGATTCAGCATGGACTGTAAATTTCTGATTAAATGAGGCACAGTTTTTCATACATATAAACAACAGCAGTGAAAAAGCATGTGAAGTTACTTGCATCTCTCTGTAGTTTAGTGACATGCAAATTATTTTGAGAAGGGCTTTGTGCTTAGATAAGAGTCAGAATTTCCTATCAACTGACATTACTCCTCACTGTGTATATATTATCTCTGTGCTCCAGTTCCATTCAATTTTATGTTCACTAACAGTCCTATATCAAAAAACTTTTTTTTCTGTACATGTGAGACAGGAGTGAAAGTCTTACTGCAGAGAGCCGGCTAGTCCATGCAAGTCCAAATTATAGACTGATGAAATCGAGGAGTGAATCTGATTTGTCTCAGCCTGAATCAGATGAAGAGGGTTACACACTGGTAGGTATACCCAGATTCAGTAAAGAAAGATTTTTGTTTTCAAGGTATAGATATGTAAGGCTTTGGTTAGAGTAAGTAATATGTTTGTTTTAGACATATAAAAACTTTTTTCAAAAAGAACTTTAAGAGAAATAACTATATTGCATAGATGTTTACCACATAGGTGTTAATGGTTTCAATCTCTTGCTCTGACTTCTTTCTAAACTCTAAATTCATATATCTGACTCTTTGATGGACAGTCCACCCAAATGAGTCAGGTTACCCCAATCTTAACGGTAACCTATCTATAAGTGAACTCTCTCCAAACCTGTTTCTCTTCTATTCCCTATTTTAGTCGATGGTACTTTAACTATCCAAGCAAGAAACTTGGGATCATCCTTGACTCTTCTTTTTCTTGTCTCCTGATCCCTTTATCTTTCACCCCTTCCCAATCCAGTTAAGTCTTAAAAATTTTACCATTAGTGTGTCTCCAATGTCCTCTCCTCTCCCTTTCCTTCTTCCACTGCTCTGTTTTAAACTTTCTCATTTGAGTGGACGTGTGCAGAAGCCTTCAAACTGGTTGCCTCACCTCTTGCCTTGTGCCCACCTTCCACACTTCTCTAGACTAGTATATCTAAAGTACAAATCTGTTTATACCTCCTCTACTTATAATCTTTTAACAGCTCTGTTAACTATCAAAAATGCCTCAGAACTTGGACTGTAGGCATTTAGGGTAAAGATAAATAAGATGCTAATTTATATAAAAAGGAAGTAAGGTAAAGGTATGCTACAGTGTCACTGGTAAAATATAAAGCAAAAACTATTTAGAAGATTGCTTCTACTTGAGCAACTTTGGATTTGGAGTTAATTGATAGCTAGGTTTTCAATTTGGCTGTTCCTCTGCCTTATGTGTGATTCTATATGTGCTATGACCTCCCTGGGCTTTAGTGTCCTATTGTGTAATACAAAGATGGTAGTGTCTGTTGTGTATATGGTGATGTGTCAGACTTGGCTTCTGGTCCCGATTCTACTGTTAAAGAGCTGTGGGATATTGGTCATATCATGTGACAGCTCATAGAGAAATGCTAGCATTTGAGATGGACTTATCTATGAGCTCCATGTTTAATTCTGAAATTCCTCTATTTTGTGAACTGAGATAAGGGATATGAAAATATTTTTGAAAAAGTATAAAGTGCTACATAAAGAGTAAGTTACTGTTTAAAAAAAGCTTCCATGAAGGATTCCTCATCTAAGGAAAGTTGAACAATGTCTTTATGTTTCATTGTATCATGACATTTTGTTTATACTTCCTCCTTTTCTCCTTCATCTGCATTAATATCCCTGTGCTTCCACTTCACACTCCCAGTCTTATAGTCTAGTGAGATTCCTCTGTGTTCATTTATTTTTCTGTCAATTAATTTTTAAAATCTGATCAGTCTGACTCATTATCTAGTTTCCTAACTCTGTGATAATTTACCTTTTTTTGGAGACAGGATCTTACCCTGTCACTTAGGCTGGAGTACAGTGGTGCGATCATGGCTCACTGCAGCCTCGAACTCCTGAGCTTAAGCAATCCTCCTGCCTCAGCCTCCTGAGTAGCTGAGATTACAGGCATGTGCCACCATGTCTGGCTAATTTTTTGAATTTCTATGTCTTACTCTATTGCCCAGGCTGGTCTTAAACTCCTGGCCTCAAGTGATCCTCCTGCTTCAGCCTCCCAAAGTGTTGGGATTACAGGTGTGAGCCACTGCACCCAGTTCCCAACCCTGTGATAATTTTAAAACATAGATCATGTCATTTCTCTGCTCAAAGTCCTGCAATGACTTCCCTTTTCTCAGGCTAGAAGCCTAAGTCCCTTCAGGGGTCTGTAAGGCTCTACATGGTCTGGTCCCACTACCTCTCTGATCTCTTCTGTTATTCTCCTCAATGATTCTCCTTCTGCCACACTGGACTCTTAGCTGTTCCATGAATCTACAACACAAGTTCCCTTTAGGGCCTTAACTGGCTGTTTCTTAGGACTGGAATGGTATTGCCTGCATGGCTAACTCCCTCTCTTTCTTCAAGTCTTCCTTCTGATGTTACTTTTTTTGTGAAGCCTATGCTGACCACCCTATTTAAAATGGCAGTTTTCCTTCTTTTCCAAATAGTCACTCCCTGTCCCCCTTGCCTTGCTCTATTTTTTTCTTTTTCTGGGGCACCGATCACTTAATGTATAATGTAGTTATTCATTGATCAGTTTGTCTTAGTCTACATTACAAGAAAAGTTCTTTAAGGACAGGAATTTTTTGCTGTTTTATTTACTTCTGTATCCCAAGCACCTATAATAGTGCCTAGCCCATGGTAGGTAGTCAGGAATTTTTTTTCTTTTTTTAATTTATAAATAACTGTCTAATCTATTTTGGCAAAATTTCCACATGTATTTGGTTTTTTCCATTCTTTAATTAAAGCACCCTATTACCTTTTTATGGAGCAGGTATTTTCAAATTGGTCCCCCTTTTTCCAGTTTTGCTCCTTAGATACTTCTCTCCAAATTAGAACTCTTGAAAACACACACAACAACAAAACACCTACCTGCTGGTTGTGCTACTTTCCTACTCAAACATCTTGTCTTACTGCGGAGAACCGGCTAGTCCACGCAGTCCAAATTACAGACCGATCAAATGTAGGAGTGACTGCACTGCCTGCTCGGAAATTAAAGATTCTGGGAAGTGTCACCTGTCTGCTTTTGGAACCAGTATTCTCCATTTTTGCCATAGTAGTTCATCTTCCAGACCCCAAAAATACCTCTTGAGGCTTTGCTAAAGCACTATTTGCCTTAAAAATTCTCCTAGCCTTCCTTGCTGATGTCCTGTCTTTCCCTGAAGGACTGTCTAAAATGTTACCTCTTCCAGAAAGCTTTCCCAGCTCCCTTACTCTCCCAGTTGTCCCATAACAACTTGTTAGGATCTCTAATAATTAACTGTTTGTCTTATGGTGGATTCATTTATGTATTATTAGTATGTCTTCCCAGTAAACCCACTGAAAAACTAGGATTTTTTGGTTTTTATTTTTCCTAAATGCCCCTGATATCTTCTACACAGTGCTTTACATATTGTAAATGACTGATAACTCATTTCAGTTGAAATGAAAATATAAAAAGGAGGATGGGTAAAATTAAAGTGGCATACTTTTGGGAAATGAGCAATGAAATGTGACTTAGAATAGGGTTAAAAACTCACTATGGACTTTGACCTGTACAAGACGTTTAACCTTCCTGAGCTCCAGTTTCTTTATCTTTGAGATGGAGAATAATGCCTGTTGTACTTGCCTCCACTGTGTTGTGAAGAATAAATTTGGTAATACAATTTAAAACATTTGGAAAATTACAAATGGGAACAACAGATCAATGGAGGAGGATTGAGCTTAGATTTAATTGGCAAGATTGTTCATTTAGGTTTTCTGGTTGTTCATTTAGTTTTTAGAAAATTTTTAAAAAGACTAAAAAAGTCCATTTTTTAAAAAGACTGGGCCAGGCTCAGTGGCTCACGCCTATAACCCCAGCAGTTTGGGAGGCTGAGGTGGGAGGATTGCTTGAGTCCAGGAGTTCGAGCCCAGCAGTTCAAGACCAGCCTGGGAACAAGATGAAACCTTGTCTTTACAAAAAAATACAAAAAAAAAAAAAAAAAAAAAAAAAAAATTAGCTGGGTGTTGTGGTGAGCACCTGTCCCAGCTACTCGGGAGGCAGAGGTTATAGTGAGCTGAGATCGCGCCACTGCACTCCAGCCTGGGTGACAGAGTGAGACACTGTCTCAAACAAAAAACACCAGATTGACTTTTGATTATCTTTCCTTATGGAATATTAGAAAGACAGTGTCATAAAAGATGGAAAGGCAAGAACTAGAGAGAAAGCAGATTCCATTTCAGATGAAGGGAGATCTGGGCTAAGCCTTCAACTTCAGAGAGCCTGGGGTGGATGAAGAGGAGCAAGCACTTGGGACAGTTTGGGTTTTCCAGCTGAAATATGTTACCCTTCTATACTATATGAGGTTATTTAAGATATCTTTGATACCTCATGTACTCTGAATTTTTCATGAATGAAATGCTTTTTAAAAATGTTTTAAGTTAACCACTTTAATGTCAAATCTTTGTTTTAACCTTCTTTCATAAAATGTATTATATGATGTGTTATCTACTTCTCTGTTTTAGCAGAGAATATACCAGCCCTAAGTTTAACTGTTTGACAGGTGTCATTTTTACCAACATTTCTTGCTACACCCTTCTAGTCTATTCCCTAGCTCCCTTGTTTCTCGCAGGATTTGATTTAGCATGTGAAAACAGATACTTTACAAAAGGATAATTTAGATGAATGAATTAGGACTGAAAAGGGCTGAGAGAGGAAAATAAAGCCCTGGGTAAGATATTCTTATCTTGGCTCATATCGTGTGGTGTTCTGCTAGAGGTTGGTCACCACGCAGGAAAAGCATAATGAGTTACATAATTCACAGTGTCTAAAAGATAAAAAACAATTGTTCAAAAGAACCAGATATTTCTGGTTCTGAGGCCTGAGATTGTTTTCTTCCATGAGCCCTCATGGCAAAAGTACTATGTAATGAAAATGTTTTATTACCTGACACAGTGATGCCTTGAGGAGCTTTGTGATGACTATTTGGTGTTTTATCCAGCACCAAATGGTCCAAGAATAATACTTATTTCTGTTGATACATAGGTGGGTGAATATAAGAAAAAGTGTGTTTATCTGCAACATGGGTACATGTATCTATATATGTGACGAGGTAAAGATTTTCTACAACATTTTTCAAATCTGTTTTGACACTTTTTTTTTTTTTTTTGAAATGGAGTCTTGCTCTGTCACCCAGGCTGGAGTGCAGTGGTGCAGTCTTAGCTCACTGCAACCTCTGCATCCCGGGTTCAAGTGATTCTCCTGCCTCAGCCTCCCAAGCAGCTAGGATTACAGGTGTGTGCTACCACACCCAGCTAACTTTTGTATTTTTAGTGGAGACGGGGTTTCACGTTGTTGGCCAGGCTGGTCTCGAACTCCTGACCTCAAGCGATCCACCCGCCTCGGCTTTCCAAAGTGCTGGGATTACAGGTGTGAGCCACCACTCCCGGCCTTGTTTTGTCACTTCGAGCCTTACTTCTTTGGCACAAACTTTTTGGATTGTATGATAGAGTACAATTGAAACTGCTAATACCATAATGTCAAGTCTATGCGTAAGCTTAAGTCATATATGATTTGTTTTATGGGCCAAGTAGGCAGTTGTCTACACCCCACCCCCAACCAGATACACAGATAGCACACAGAAATATACTTCCATTGTTCTTGTAAACCTTCACTGATTTATTAAACTCTGTAGTTTAATGAATTTGAGATTTGTCTATTTTAATAGGTTTTATAAAAAGACATTTAAAAATCTTTTCAAATACTACCAGAAGGTTTAGGACTGTTATTTTTCTGTTAGTACGGAGACTATCAGATTTTCTTCCTTTAAACACCTAGAGAAGCTAGTGGAAGTTTTGAAAAGAAAGGAAAGTGAAGCTAGAGGAAGGAATAGTAATTTTGGAAAGTAGGGCACTACTTCAAGGCTTGAGGCATCCAGAAGGTCTTAATAAGATCATCCTGTGTCTGGAAGATAAAAGACAAAGATTCCAATGGAAAAAAGGTAATGAAAACTACTGCTCTTCTGCAATGTTAATTAATCTGACTTTTTTGAGTTAGTGTTTCAGTTATATGTGCTTGAGCCTCCTTATAGCTATGTTCAGTGAATTTTTAGGGACATTTTGTTATTAGTTGGACTTGAATGATGAATAAGTAAGACATTGTTGTAATTATGTAAATTTCTATTCGAATACTCTATTAAATCTTAATCTTAAAATACTTTTCACGACTAAATTTTACTTATTTACTTTTTACTTTGAATAGAGTGGCAGACGAAATGTTGATTTGGATTTGGCAGCATCTCAAAGAAAGAGAGGTAAGTATAAGTATTAAGAACATAGTAAACATCTTAATGAGACCCTGTCTCAAAAAAAAAAAAAAAAGAACATAGTAAATATCTTAAATCAAGTAGCTGTTTTTATATCTGATGTATTTGGATCTGATTGTCTTTGAAATGTAATTGCAAAAAAATTCAGAATCATTTTATCAGAAGAGTTAAAAGGAAGACTATTTTCATTAAAATACACACCCTTTAAAAATCTGGGAATGTTTAGGAGTTAGTGATCAGTTATTCTGTCATTTGTCCTGTATTTTGACTTTTTAAAAGTCCTATAGAATTCTAAAAACAGTACATTCCATTATGGTGGAAAGGGGTTGTTTACATAATTTTCCATGTTTTAGCTCACAGAGTTGCTATAGTTTAAATGGTGTTACAGGGAGAACTTCTTACCCCATATACATGCATACACACTTTGAAATGGAAAGTTTCTATTTTTTTCCCTCTTGGCCTATTAAGATAAAGCATGTAAGAGATGCTTTATCTCTTACATGAAGAGAAACTATATCTCTTACATAAAAAACTGAAAAAAAGATTTCATGAGGAACAACTTAGAGTGTCATTGAGAGTTAAGGTCTTTTGTTAATGAATAATATAATTAACTCATGGTTATGTGTACAAATTGAGGAAAAACAAGCAGTTTTAGATAATATAAATCCAAGGATAACTAAAAATTCTCTTAAGTATTTTTCTCTATTAACTGGTACTGCTTTTTTGTTTTTTGTTTTTGGAGACAGGATCTTGCTCTGTTGTCCAGGCTGGAGTGTAGTGACACCATCATAGCTCACTGCAGCCTTGGCCTCCTAGGCTCAAGGGATCATCCTTCCCCAGCCTCCAGAGTAGCTGGGACTACAGTTGTGCACCACCGTGCTCAGCTAGTTTATTATTTTTGTAGAGATAAGGTCTCCCTGTTTGCCCAGGCTGATCTCGAACTCCTGGGCTCAAGCAATCCTCCCACCTTGGCCTCCCAAGGTGCTGGGATTATTGTATGCTTGAGCCACCATGCCTGCCCTAACTGGTACTTTTGTTTAAAACCATTTATTAAGTGGTTGTGAAAATGTAAAGTGTTAAAAATTGCCACTAGTGACAGTTTTCTGAAAGCCTGTGAAAAATTTTTTTTTCATGATATTAAATCTTTTGTATTTCAGAATGAAACCCTTCTTTTAATAGCTTACTTGACAGAATGTTAGGTTTCTCGTCCATAGAAGAAAAACTGAGAGATGAAAAGAAATGCACACGTAATTTTTTCATTTTCATGTATATAACCCAAAAGAATAAATGTTATTACTTAAAATTTGGCAGTATTTAATCATTTAATTACAGTTAGAATATAAAGAATGGGCCAGGTGTGGTGGCTCACACTTGTAATCCCAGCACTTTGGAAGGCTAGTCTGGGCAACATAGTGAGACCCCTGTCTCTACCAAAAAGAAAAAAAAAAGCTAGGCATTGATGCATGCACCTGTATTTGTAGCTACTCAGGAGGCTGAGGTGGGAAAATCACAGGAACCCAGGAATTTGAGTTGCAGGGTACTGTGATCATGCCACTGCACTCCAGCCTATGTGACAACAGTGACACCCTGTCTCAAAAAAAAGAATACAGAGAATGATTTCTCTGAAATATTAGGAATAATAAAGCCAGAGCTTGCTTTTTGAAAAATCTTTTGAGGCCATAGCATACCAAAGCTGCTGAGTTTCTTTTAAAAAAAAAAATTACAGAGTATTTGTAATACCAAAAAAATGAAGTGTTTAGTATAATGTGCAATATGCATTTTATTATTTGGTAATTCTTTGAAAATTGGTAGTTCTGTTGACTTACGAATTAAATTTTTGGAACAGATTTACTTTCCTAATTTTGTTTAGCTCAGGTGAATATAGTTGCTAAAAGTTGTATGTTATATTAATAAATGTATATCATTTGGTGCTAGAGAGAAAATGGCTCCAGATTTACAGAGTAGCGTAAGAGATCCAATTTATAGTTTATACTGTATTACTTAAGTTTATATTTATAAGTAATAGTTCATTGGTTAAAATTGTTTTTTTCTCTCAAATCTCTATCATGTTTATGGAACTGTAATTTGAGATTCAGTCTCTTCTTAACCAGGTCAGCGTGTGGCAAAATAATGTCTTTGGAATAAAAGTAGAATCTTCACCTTTGAACTAAGAAAAAACTAATTTGGATGTGAATTACTTAGGCATGGATATAACATATTTAGGAGATTATATTTTCAAAGAGATTTTACAAAAATATTGTGTATTTAGTGACTGCCCTTTGACACAGTGGGTTTTTTTTGTTTGTTTTGCTTTTAAATGATAGTAAAATAAATGACTCTGTTTTTTTTTTTTTCTTTTCTATCAATATGGACCAGATGCCTTAAGCCATAATATCTTCAGTTAGGCAGTTGAACCTGCCAAGTCTGAGAACTGTTTGGGAGCCATTCAAACTGTTGAGTGTTCTGATTCTGACTTGAGCCATGAAGGACAAAAAAATGTCCAGCCAAGTGAGAATTCTGTTTTTTTTCCTTTCCTTTTTTTTTTTTT